TATTTCTTATGTTTCTCCTGAACGTATTTTTAAATATGCAGATGATGTTGTGCTGTCTCAACCCATTTCTTCTTACTCCAATCGAAGCTCCTTTACAGACAGTATCTCTTTCGCAAGGCCATGCTCAAACCTCGTCAAATGTGTGGAATGTTTTGATCGTTTTCCACGCTCTTCATTCCCGATAGACCCCACAGTGATGAGTAACAATCCCTTATTTATTTTGATTTCTACCAAATATATTGGTCTAACTATGGATAACAATTTTGGTTGGTCAATACACATCCACGACTGCACTGGAAAACTGCGGCGTCTACTAATTCAAATTTGAAATCTCTGACAGTTTCACAGTTCCCAGTCAGTTAGTTCTACCTTTTTACATCAGTGTTTCCCCCACCTTACTTTATTGTCTCCCAGTTATTTTCCCTGACTCACTTAAACAAAAGTTCAAAGAATTATGCCGCGGTCTAACTATTATTAGCCGTATTTCTTCTTTTCCTGTGAACTTTCAGATTATCACAACTTCCTGTGTCCAATTGGTGGAGAGAAAGATTTAGTTCTCAGCCATAGCTAAGCCCTGAATTCTGACAGCATAAACATTTACCGAAATTCACCTGTACCCTATATTGCACGTGTACTCACAAAGAGAAAGAAACAAGGGAACTTCGTCTTAAACCTGGACTTGAAATGTCCTTATGCTGTCTGTAAATATTTCTACCCGTTTAATCTGTTCCACATTAGGGTGAGCATGTATAGTTTTTTAACTGAAATTTACACACAATACAATACAATATAATACAGTGCAATTTCTCCAGAAAGATGGAGTTTCCATCGGATCCCCACTCAGTCCGTTGCTAGCTGATATTTTGTGGCTAAACTATAGAGGAGCACACTGAGCTCGACCATTAAGAGAGTGGCACAATACATTAGGTAAAAGATCACATCCTCTGTGTGCTTGTTCAAGAATACAGTACACCACAGACACTGGAATCGTTTAACAAAGAAAATCCATCGTTGAACTTCACCGTGGAGGTTGAAACGGACGAAACGTTGTTGCTTTTGGATGTAGCTTTGCTCAAAATAGAAAATGGATTAACGAGAAATAAAGTAGGGAATGGTCAACATACGAACTTCTATGGCTTTATTTCTGTGAAATACAACCGTATTATAGTTTGATGTCTGGTCTTCAAAGCCCGGAAGATTTGTTCAGCAGACGCACTAGATGGAGAGGTGCGCTTTATCCGCCAAGTGCTGTAAGACAGTGGCTAGCCCTGAAACATTTATTGATGCTAATATTCTAATTAATCCCGAAGAGGAAGGCCCTATCGATGTCCCCAAGAAAAAACTGTTCATATGGATTCCATTCATAGGGGGGCTCACATACCAACAGCCTAATACCGTGACTGGTAGTGGCTGTGAATTCAACCTGCCATGCCGCCAAACTTAGATCGATGTTCTCTACCTAACTGGTGATGCGAATGCAACTGAAAGACAAACTGCCGAAACTGACCTCCTCCGTGTTCATCTGTTCTTTCAAGCGCTTCTGTGGTGCATGTTTCATTGGTCGTACGATAAGCCGTCTGGCTCAACGCGTTAAAGAACACCACCGGTGATTGTTATGTCAAAAGAAGACCGGTTCTATCTCAAGTGCGATCCTGGGTCACTCCGCAGACATCGGACACAAGATCGAACCAAAGAAAACCTTCGATGTTGTTTATCGTATTTTCCTCAATCAATCGAAGGCAGCCCGAGTTTGGACACCAGCCATGTCCGAAGCAATCGCCATTTGCTTACTTTGCCCAAACCTGCCTACCCAAAAAGACTGGTTCAAACGCTTCAATTACCTTGTCCTGGTGTGAAAACAAAGACAGCACATGGCGTTTCTTTTGACCCAAGTGGGGAAGTTAACATCAAACAAAACACTGAACGTTTTACTATGCATACATAACACACACACACACATGAACTTTGCCTTCGATTTCTGACCTGAATTTGAACTAATGGCTGATATTATGTGAACATCTTCCCACTATCTGGTGTGTAAAATTATGACTACGACTATCCGAAAAGCAATTGCCTGCTCAGTGATCCCTTTTCTCAATAGTATCATAAAAAATTCAAATGTTTGATGTCCTGTTGACAGTTAACTTTAGGATTAGGTTTTCAGAGATGAATAATACCTTATTGTTTAAAACTAACGCAAAATCATCTAAGTGGTTCTCTGAGAACGGCCTCACTTCAAATTATCACCATGACATACGAGATAGAATAGTGTTAAAATAGTGTTCTCTAACAATCTCTTAGGTGCATAGCATAGACCACAGGAAAGATGTAGGTTAGATGAATTCGTCATGCACATTGTACAGAGAACTCTGGTTGTTCCGATCCCGTTGATACCCATCTTGATAATAATGAGACGCGAACTCTCTGATTAAGTAAAAATCCGTCAATACAGCCCCGATAATAGAGTAACTCGGAGGAATAAACGGCATCATAAGTAGATAGAATCCAGTTGTGTGATAATTTCCCTGACAGTGATCTGAGTGGCGTGATTCCGTTTTAGAAATGTGAGATTAATCTCGGACTTGCTCGCCAAGTGCGCACCGAAAAGGTTGAAATAACTGTACAAAGCTTGCACTGCTGATATGCCCAACCCGGTTGGCTGATTTAATATATAATATATGAAAAATGCCCACTGCCACATTGAAAACAAAATCCGGTAGGCGAAACAAGCTGCTTTTCAATAAATCGAAGTGAGTATCAGGTAAACAATCGTAACACACCTTCTATAGTTTAATACGATCAAAACCAGATCGACTAACCTAAATAACCCTATACCGTTCTTAATGGCCAGTTGATGACGTCATTGAAAAACAGCTGGTTTCGCCTATCGGTCTTTGGTTCCAACGACTTGATTCAAGTATCTTGCATTGAATTCCAAATATATTTTGCAGTTATGCATGAAAAATTCATTTTACTTCGCATACAATCACTTTTTCCCATGTCAATACGACTTGGAAACAAAATAAGCTTTCCGACCAAGGAGTTGTATCAACCTTAAGCACAATTCACCTTGTCACTCAGTCAAACAATCTCATTACCTCAGACACAAATAGTTTACTTACCATATTTTGCAAAGTATTTCTACTGTATTCGCTGCCAAGTTTTTCCTGTCAGCCTAGCAAATACACTTAATAACATTTGATCTTTATACCCTACAAAACTATCTGCTATTCCATGTCAGGATTATTATTAATTAATTGTTTATTAATTATTGTATTATTATATTATTATTATATAATATATATTTTATTATTATTTATTATTATTTTATTATTATTTATATTTTTTATTACTTTTGTATCGTTCAAAATTTAATTGGAGTTTTTATTATGAGTAAAGTAAATGGTTGAAGCTTTTGCATTCCACAGAACAGTTCCACAATGGGTTCGCATCATAAAAATGACATAATCAATGATCATGTTTGTTTCCGGGTGTGGCAAATTTGGTTGTTTCAATGTTCTTTCAATTCATTCTCGTTCAGATATCGTCCTCAACGATAGCAAAGTTCACCTGACCTGACAGCATTGGAAAGAGGTAGTTTACTATTCGAGAGCCAGAGTGGGTGTTTAACTAGATGAATTGGGGATTGTGCGGGACGGTGAAGTCGGGAAGATGATAAGATGAATTAAAATACTTTTCAAATAAACTTACATCTGACAAGAGGTTCCTATCAAGATCATACTCGATGGAGAGCTGAATATTCTCATGAGCCTTTAGCTTTGATACGATTCAAGTGAACACGTCCCATGGTTGGCGGAACGCTAATTTAAGTCACTCAGCGTTACGTGATCAAAGGTCTTTAATCAAATGTTGGTTGACCTCTTCCATGAATCATCACCTAATAGAGATGAAATATCGTCTTAACTGAACAACTGAGCGCACTGTGATTCTTTGCTTGTCAAATTTATGTCTACTGCCGAAGCGAAAGCCGTACATAGGTATTTGTGTACACAGAAATAACTTCAAACCTCTTGGGCCCTGCCTTAGTAGAAACATGGATTGTGGAAAACGTTTACGGGCAACAAGATAGCCATTGCAATCATGAAGCACTTAGGTAACATGAATTAACCAGAATACTTGATAATGTGCTCTTGTTTACTGCTTTCGGAGAATGATGAGAGTTTCTGTAAAAGTGTACACATTCAACTTATCGGTAGATGTTGTCCTTGTTTCTACCAAATCAACCGTGAGCAGATCTTTCTCACTTTACTTGTTCGAAGTAATCTACCGCTTCTGAAAACTGAACAGGAATTTATCCTATCAGCCCGCTATTCGGAATCGTTTTGCCAAGATTTGGTAACTGACAGGCGATGGTCATTGATGTGTTGGTCAGATCAAAACTGTGCACGCGAATCCATTCTGTCCGCTGTGGTTGTGACTAATTTATTGTATGTTGTTGTCATAAACTGGTTTCAAGCAGAACAGGAGAGACTGTCGTCGAGTGACCACATTCGCATGAATAACCCCCTCGGATCTGATGTTAGTTTGACAGAGTTTGTGTCCATTATGAGAATGACGGCGGTAAAATCGAGGTTTCCTATAAAACTAAGTGTTTTCAAGATCGAGGCTCTGGCAGTCATCCCCAAACCTCCGAGATTAGCCCAATCCCTATCAGTGAAATTGTTTGATGTACATTCTAAGTCACTTGTGTGAACTCAGTTTACCACGAGGATACATATCAATGTAGGCACAGTAAAAACTGCAAGGAGATATTTGCGAGCGCATGCTAAATGAGTGAATCTGTTCAGTAGGCGGAGATTGCTTCAGTCACGATTGGAATGAGCTCAAGCACAATTGTGATGCGACCGAAAACCGTTTCGTTTGTCTGAAGCCGGCCATTTCGTGCAAAGCATGTGCAATCCGGTAGTTGCTATGTTGCGGGCTGAACTCTCGGACAAACTTTTCGACCTGATTTACCGATATGTATGCTTCCATTTCAGAACAACGCGATCAGTCGTGTTTCCACAAGCGACCAGATTCGGGAGCGCATTCACCTGTATCGTAAATTGATGTCACCAAAACAGTGGAAACAGTTTCTCGCACAAACCCTACCCGGACAGAGTAACGCACAATTCAATCTTGCCCTGTTTGAGGCTTCGGTTATCGGGGTTCGCCGAGCTGTAGCCGAGTGTCGATATCAATTTCGGAACGAACGATGGAACTGCAGTCAGGTTCCCAACACAGACACAGTGCTGTTTGGAAATCTGCTTCTCAAAGGTCAGCCATCTGGTTTCTTTCTACAAAATCTAGTTAATTTTTTTAAAGGAAGCATATCAATGGAATACTTGAAAACTGGTTGCCGAATATGAGTATAGGATTTAAGCTTCTATAACTTGCACTGTTCACCATTCAATATTTCATATGTGAATTTGGAAAATAGCGTATCACGCTTAAGTAGAGTATTATTTGGAGAAGAAGAGTACGGTTGTAGTTAGCTAGTACCGTTCTATATTCCTTCTCTTTGCAGTTATGCCAAATTAACTGACTGTTTTCTTTGGAGACCACACATGAGCCAACCTGAATCGGGATTCTGGACACCCGAGTTATAAGCTGCTTCACATAGGGGCAAAAAACAAGTTCTTTATGCTAAGGATCTTATGTTCAAATCCAAGAAGGGACGATGGGAATGCACAACTAAGGACACCCAACAAATGTGAACATCAAGTCTTACGTTTCTCGAGTCCGTATATGACTGAATGAACTGAGGATCATGCAGGGAGTTTTGGGGTTCTGACATAATTTTATTTATTTTTATATTCTCTCCACTAAATCAAAGGCTGAGAAGTCGTTAGGCAAAACCAAATTCGATGGAAAGTTTTGAGTCCAGCAACTGCGAGTTTCAACTCTGAGGCAGTACATTTAGGTCACGAGGTCGATAAGAAGAAGGTAGGAGCAAAAATTGATAGGTTTGTTATTGGTATCTACTGTGGCACGATCGAAATGTTGACTGATTTTCGGAGTTGTGATCAAGTACCAATATTTGTCGGGTTACGAAGTGTTGACTGTGTCAGATAGGACTTTCCTGGTAATACATTTTTTTGAGTTGGATACGGTTCATTTTATTTAAGTATTTAGCATCAACTTCTACTGCTGACCTTTTTCGCGTCGGAAAACGCGTTTGTGGAGTCACACTCTTCGTATCCACCTTGCACATCTACGGAGACAGTTTCACTGGAAATATTGTTTTCCCTTCACAAACTTGAAGATAGAAGAAACACAGGTTTGCACAATGCATCTCCGGTCATTTCGTTGAACATGTACACGTGCATTCTGCAGTCAAAGTGTTTTATAGCTGGTGGGATAATTACCATGAGACGAAGACACGATCGAAAAATTAAATATATAGAGAATCAGTGCTGAATTAGAAGAACAAAGCAGACATTTTAATGACTGATATACATATAGAAGGACTAAAACAACTGAAAGCTAATCGAAACACCGTCATACTGCTTCCCGACAAGGGTTCCGGTGTAGTATTAACGCATAAGTCACACCGCATAACAAAAGTGATACATATCTTAGGGGGCGAACCCAAGGTCACGGTTGGCAATACTCAAGACGATCCAAGTGAATTAGAGAAAAAAATATGTGCGAAACTGAAAACTCTAACTCTGGAAAACCCTGCACAACGATCGCTGGTGAAATGCTTGCGCCCGAGGGAAACACAGACACCACAAATGTAAGGCTTACCGAAGCTGCATAAAGAATGGGTTCTAATACCATCCATTCTAAGCATGATCAGTTCATTCCAACATGCATTAGCAAAGTGGTCAGCTAAAGTTCTGGTACCAGTGAGAGATTTAATTGCTCGGCGTAATGTCAAGAATAGCTTTGAGATGGGCAACCATCTGAGGCGTAGAAATATTCAACTAGACAGATTTTTATAAAGGGTGTAAAACATCTGTTCACAAATGTTCCGCTGCACAAAGAAAAGAAATTGCAGATCGGGTTACCAACCCGAGAACTATCACGATTCCTACCATGCACGTCAAACGTTAGATCTTCATTCCTTGGACAAGGATATCGGAAGGTAGACGGGATCGCCGAGGGTAGACCGATCGGACCGATTGTTGCGGATATTCTTCTTAGTTACTGGGAAGAAAGTTTCGAAAAGGATGTTTCGAAACTAAATCTATACTGTCGTCATATTGACGACACTTTGGTTATAAGCAGCAACAAGCAAGATGGGGAAAACCCATTCCATCGATTCAACATAATTCACTCCAGCATCCAGCTGACTCCCCACGATTAAGGGGACGACCACATCAAGTTTTTATATATGAATATCACATGTCAACCAGATGGATCAACTAAAAGATCTGACTTCCGAAAGAACACTTGGCCTGACCAATAGTTACATTTTGCAAGCTCCTCCCCTATTAGATACAAAATTGGTCCCGTTAGCACATTATTTAATCAAGCGCGTGAAATATGCACAGAGGACTCTTTGAACGATGAAAGTGCCCTCTTAAAAGGAAAACTTCAAGCAAAGGAATATCCAGTTGCAATCAGCGCCAAACGATGTGAAGCAACATTTAAAGTAGAAAAATCAGTAACTGTCCCCAAAATGAAAGCTTTAATATACTTAGCAAACAAAGGTGATGATGTGAATGAATCAGTCAGTGAGCGTTTCGACTCTGCCTTCGAACAGCATTCCATCAGATCGCGAGATAAAACGAAGGGTAAGTTAAGAAAACAAGTAAAACGGAAGTTGTGTGAAAGCTTCGGGAGCAAGGTGCAAGCACCGTATGCCGGAGATCCTCACTAAAGAAAATTACTCCATAAATGGGAAAGATAATGCAGAATACGGACAGAAAAACATCTAGTGAAAAAGGTTTAGGATATGAACGACGACAGAAGTGTGTATCAAATTAAACACGATGGATGACAATCAGTGTACACCAAAGCGTCGTCACAGTTCAACCTCTTGGCCGGGTCATTACAAAATCAATCTGGAATCCATAAGAAGTTATCAAGCGCAGACGGGCCTGTTCGAATTCTCAAAAGAAAGACGTCATTGCTGCAGAGTTCATTTTCTCCGGAGGTGGAAGGAGTATTGCTCAGGAGTATTACTCATACTTTTGAATAGTTTGCACGCACCAAAAACCGGCTATTAAATTCCTGTGGAATTCGCGAGTGGATTGAAGGATTGACATTCATAACTATGTGAACTGAGCATCTACCATCAAACCGTTCCATTAATTATCCTGTGTGCTTGTGGAAATTCCTGAGACTTGTTCTAAATAAGACATTTTGCTGTATGCATACCAATTTACTGATACCCTTACCGATATTTGTGATAAATGACTTTCCTCCAGCCGGCAGCGTCTTGTGGATTTATAATACAGGTAGTTCACCATGAAACACCTGGTTCCGTTGGTAACGTCATAAGAATAGCATGTGATTAATAACACGTCTCTCGCTTTATCAGTAATATATGCAACTTCTTTGATACGAACCTAGGGAGACTAAGGATTTGTTAGGCATACCTTTCGATTGAGGACGGTGTGCGAAAGTGTTTTGCACGAGAAAAATCGACATCTACCGGTAATGAGAAATTTAGTATTCGGCTAGTGGCAATGTATCAGTAGTGAACTAAAGTTTGTCTCATGTAATGCAGTTATTTCGAATTTCGAAATATGCCCATAATCACACTTAGAACACACTTAGAACAATTGCTTTCAATAAGTCATAATCACGCCGTTACCGTTTATATGAGGGAAAACACCTAGTATCAAAACCTAGACAGTTCACATCATTTTGTTTCGTTCGATGTTCTCGCGGTTGCAATGAATAAAATAGCGTAAGCCCAGGAAATTTCCTTCAAATAGCTCGATAATTTAGGCTTTCAATTGTTACTTTGCAGATTTGAAGTTTGTATGTCGTTTGTGAAAAGCTCAGTAGCCTCGGTGGAATTCTAACCCACGCATGGACGCCGCCACATGCTTCTGTAAGTTGGATGGATAAATTCGAATGTAAAAGGATGAGTGCTACCGGTGTGGCCTAGCAGCTCAGCTGGTAGGGCCTGCGCGTACAATGCGTAGGTGGCATCCATATGTGAGTTCGAATCCCACCGATGATACTCGAGTTTTCACAATCGACATTCAATCTGGGCTTTGGCATAAGTAAGAGGAACTTGAAAAAAACTGACATTGTGACGGTTAACGTGGTAAGACAGATTTAAACGTTGAAATATAGGACGAGGGGAACAAAAATTTGGAAACTTCATGGTAGTCCGCGGATTAAGAAATTGTTAAAATTACTTGTCAAAGGGAGTTGGTACAAGGAGAAAGATTTCCCTATGATGCAGTTGTACTCCGATTTCCATGGCAATGACAATGGCATCACCTGCACAAAGTTATGCTGCTTGCACAGTTTGGGTCCCCTGGTCGGGATTATCGTCTCGGACGTTGTGGCAAACCTTTTACATAATATAATACTGCGCCTTTGTGGCGTTGCTAAGACAGTTGTGCACATGCACTCAAGATCAATTATAGATCTTCTATTGAGTTGATGGTATTCCCAAAAGCAGGGTAATATGCTAATATATGCTTGAAAAAACGTCTTGTTCAACGTTCCATGTGATAGTTACAAACGGTTTAGAATGGTAAGGTAGACCGTCGTAGATATTTTGAACAAGATATCATCACGCCTTTGCCACACTTCCCATACGTGTGGAGGTGAATTTCTCTCAATCGTTATTTCGACATTTCACTTGTTGTCATCCTACTGAAAACAACTGTGGTAGTGAGATCATTTTACTGAAATCTCCACGATCTTCAACACAGTACATTTGACTGCAGGATGAGCATCGACTCAAAATATGCTCTGTCACATCGTAAAACAGTCTGCTATTTATTTCAGAAACATTTTAATACCTACATGAGAGCAACTATTCCCGGCACAATGAAACAGATTATTCCCCCAGACCCCTTTTGTATGTCACAGGGGAAAAACTAGGAAATTCTAGGTATTGTCTACTTCATTTCGTCTTCCGGTAAACATACCGTTGCCATCTGAACGTTTCCTGATTTTCATATCTGAAAAATTCCAACAATTATCCTTTTCCTCCTCAAGAAATGCAGGAAAATTTGGATGAATGGTATTGAATAAATAAATATAGTGTTCAAATGATGATGGCAGGTAAAAACCAAAATACCACCAAAATTACTTTGTGTTATGTTGCGCCGCGTATATCCGTTGTCTACTATTAGGTCGCACAGCACTACATCACAGGAGAACACCACAAGTGCAAAGAACACAAGATATAGCACAGTAACAATAGTAGCACACGCAAAACGAGAACAGCGAACGGCGGACGTGAACGATGCATGCCCCCCCCCCCAAGCTATTTAGGCGATAATAACCAAGCTACTAATAAGTAGTATATATGAAAAACACTCAAGCCGTGAAATAATACCAACAAATTAATAGAAAAATATGGAAAGCAATAATAATTACACTAATAATAATAAAAAGTGTACAAAATGATGACTAAGAAAGAATGAAAAAATTTACAATGGCTAAATCTGTTTTATATGGCCCAGAAATGTAGATATATCGTCCGGAAATGTCTCGTATGAAAAATTAAACCATAATCTGTATTGAACCTCATCTAGATGATCCCAAATCATCTCACAGGTCAATTTACAAGTTCACTCTGCTGCTTATATGTGACTGAAAATAACATTGATCAATGCAGGAAAAAGAATGTACCAATGAAATGCACAGTGAGCAATGTTCAAACGGCCATAAGCTGCGGATCAGACGAACGGAGAGAGTGATTATTGCCGTACGACGCAATATTATTGATTTATCTCCGCGACATTAGCATTGATCCGAGATGACCCAACTTAAGTCAAATGTGTTGCAAAATTGTTTGATTTTGCTCACTGAATTATCAAGTGTGCGGCCGGGCTTATCGTGGGACGAATGGAGTTGATCTTCGTCCCAACACTTTGGTACAAAACAGTCGTCTTTCAAAAATTACTTGAAATATGCGAACTCTGCATGCAGACGATTGGTTTGAGTGGGGTACAGACTTTATGGATCTGAGATGAACCTATCATTTGAAGTACTTCTGTTTCCATTAGGTTTCAGACTTTTGCACTGAACTTCGGAAATGAAAACATGTAATAGCTGAATCTGATGCTTTTGGATGATCATTTTTTCCGTGAGCTTGTTGTTATCGGCCCTGTTTTCCACTTTGCTGTCGTCCGCCAATATTTGGTTTAATTTTTCTTTCTAGTTCTCCTTAGTCATAGTGACTAATAAAGAGCTCTTGTCCAGATTCGGATATTTTACTTCGGAAATCACTCTCGATTCTTGTATAGTGCTATAGTGCTCTGCTTTGAGGCAAGTCTTTTGTCTAATAGGTGCTGAAAGTAAGGAGTACAAAACGTCCACCAATTTCGCACAAAACCAACCAGCATCTTCAGCCCAGGTTGATGAAAGATCTTTTAACTGATTGTTAAGGCGGAGCGCACAAAATCCGTCCTGCCACGCAGCGACGCGCGTCACACCACAAGTGCACTCGTGACGCCCAAGCCGAATCGACTCCTGATTGGATGACTAAGGCGAATCAAATAGCTGTCGTCCGGTTGATCAACCTGAGTGTCAAGGTCACGATCTGATTGGTGCGTCACCACGTCTGCTCGCGTACGCCCAACTGACCACATATTTGCTTGTTGTTTCATGATCAAATATACACTCTGACTGTCGTTTCTCAGCATTCTTTTTCCAGTTGTTGGGGCCTAGACAAAGAGGCGTACGTATCGATCACATCGTCTTGACACGAGACATAACACTGATCAAACAGGTTTTCGACCTCAACCATTGTTTGAATCGAGTTTATCTTCTTTTTTGATATCTTAAAGTCCAAACCCAGCGAAAGTAGGTCAAGAACACATTCTGTCTGAAAGTGAGACATACCCATACCATGTTACACATCCTGATCCTAAGTTCACTATCACTCAAACTCTGCCAGAGAATCGTGTGTTCTAGTTCAACTTTCAGTCACCTTCATGACACTGTCTGGATGCAGAGGAATTCATAGTGTATCCACTCGGAAGGATCAAGTTCATGAGCCTCACATAGAGGAAGAGTCATTTATTCTGCGTAGCTTTGCACTTATTCTTCATTTTGATTAAATAGAAGTTTGACTGGAAGATTGTCCTGTAATACCCTAGCACACAGACCTTTATGGTTCCATCACCATCTTTCCACTATGATCTGTTTGTGGTTGATTCCTGCTCATTCGCATACTATAGTTAGAGTTATATATCCGCCCATGTTATCGTTTATTGAACTTCTGTATCCGTTTGGGCCTGATCGGATTTTTCTCGAATATAAACAGAACGACTTCGTTGTAATTACCCATATCAATCGCCTTTTTTGTTCTTACCACGAAACCAATATATTGATGATTGATTTATTGCTCTTACGTGAATAGGAGCTCACAGAAGACGGGTGATTTAATCATAAATAGTATTTGAACGAGGAACAACTAGCACTCAAAAACACTTTCCATATAAGGTGAACCAGATGCCAACCAGTGAAGCCAACCCGGAAGACCTGACACTACATACTAATTGTGACTCACAATCCTTAAAATCTGAGTTTAAGCAGCCAAATGGTCTATGAATGTGCACCACTGTCAAGCCCCGTAAGGTCAACGTGGCTGTACAGAGGTTTCCAAGGCTTCTCTGCAGTGTATGAGGTTGCAGGATGTACAGTGAAATTCCGTTTCGCTTTTCTTGAATCGGTTCGGAACCATGATGAAGCGATATTGTTACTTGGGTCAATATTAAGTATCACCAGCTGATTATTTTTTTATTATAATACATAGTTATATCCACTTTCTGGCCTTCTGATTACCATTTGATATATGAGCGCGTTCATGCAATTTGTGAGTATTCAGTATATAGTTGCAATTTTTCGTCAGACGGGGTTCAGGTTTACCACTGTACGATGGCAGTTTAGGTTTTAAACCTTAGTGAATTTGAATAATATGTAACTACAATGTGCTTAGGTAATCCGAACGAAACAGGTATACAATATGACCGCATTTCTCTTCCCGTGAACTGCTTTATTAGGCATACCCCAAACAGCCTTCGTTTATTCCATCATCAACGCCGGGATTGTGCAGTCAGTGGCAGAAGCCTGCCTAAGTCGCATCGATAACTGCCCGTGTAATAATCAGGGCCGTGAGACGTCCACATCAAATTGGCAATGGCAAGGATGCGATCACAATATTCACTACAGTCGAAAATTTTCCCGACGACTTTTGGATACCATGGAACAAGGTTCACACATCCGATTCCGTATGAATTTACACAATAACAAAGTTGGACGACAGGTATGGTAAAAGGAAATTTTAATATTAAACCAATATTGTGTTTAAATGTGTCAGTATTTATGTATTTCCGCTTGAACGGATGTATTTATTTATGAATGCATGAAATTTTGTATGATACATGCATGACTTT